TTTCTGGGATGCCTTTCTGGGATGCTCTATATATATATGTACATGTACATTACATTATCTATACATTAGTTATCATACAACTGGACGATATCTTTGGTCTTATTTCTGGCATTGCTTGTTATGGCTAATAACTTGCTGTCTGATAGTCAATTTTGGGATAAAAACTGAGAGAAGGCATCAAGGAGCAACCTAAGTATCAATACTTTTCCCCTTGTCCCCTGAAACCTGAAAGCGGATTTCAAGTATCCAGACAGGAACAGTCAAGAGCTAGAATAACACAAGGAGGAAACCACCGAAAATAATAATAATAATAATAATAATAATAATAATAATAATAAAAATAATAAAAATTAAAAATACATATAGTACATTCTCATCACATTCAGTCTCCCATCATTGTCCTCTATATTCATAACCATTTCTCCGGTGGTTACATATAACTAGATATCTAGATGATTTCCTTCTGTTTACTTATCCTAGCGGGATGGACTGGAAAAAGAGAAATATAAAAGAAAACAGCTACGGAGGAAAGGAGTATGAACCAATTAACCAATAATAATAAGCCAATCAATGGATCAATTAAAACCAGCACCCAAAAAGAAGCAGGCGAACAAATTGAAAAAGAGGAATATTATATACTAAGGGATGTAATAGAAGCAGGACGGTGAGCAAAACAGAAAAGGGTCAGCTATATAAGGGAAAGAGTAGCAGTCTTACGGATGTATGTACATTTACAGTTTCAGAAAGTAAAAAAAAAGAATAGAGCACAGAAAGGAAGAAACCAAAAGAAGGAAAGAAACAAAGTGGTAAAATAAAAACTACAGTAAGGGGAAAAAAAATGGATAAATGGAAGGTTTTTAAAGTAAGCTAGAAACAAATAAGGGTTGGAAGAAGGATTAAAATAGATAATTGCCGTGTCTGTGTTGGCCGGTCTTTTTGTTTGTTCGGTGATGGGTATGAATGTTTTTGTCTAGGTTTCCCGCATGGATTAAAATGCGTCAATCAATCGAGTCGGTATTGTTCAACAATCTTTCACCGCAGCGAATGTCTATATGTTGCCATTCTTTTTGTTTTCTTTGATGCATTAGACAGATGAGCCGGGGTGGGTGGTTGGTTGGTTTGCGAATTGTCAATTCTCGAGGTAGGACTGTGTCCCGTTATTTCTGACCTGAGAGTGTATCCACAGCCGTAGGTTTTGGATGCAAAAATGAAAGTCTCGACGCTGAATGAGAGGTATATATACAAGGCGATGACTAATTAGGGCTGGTGGTAGTAGTAGCCCCCCAAGTAGCAGCCCCAACAGCAGTGTTATATAGCAAGGCCTGGCGGGACTGCTTTCCCTGATCGTGTGGTAATGGTAGGATGCAAAATGTCTGTATATCCGGGGGTCACTTTGCGAGTGCACTTGTTTCCAAAAGAGCACATCCTATGTACCCAGAATGACAACACGATGCCTGACTAAATGCCAAGTTTCGAAAGCCTGGTGGAGTAGCGGAGACATCGAAAAATAGGTTTGCGGAAAGGCGCGACGACATTAGGGTTGATACGAAAAAGAAAAAGGGGAGCGATAAAACAAAATTGAAGAGTAAGAAGGCAAGTAAAAAAAGCCGTGAATTAAGTATGACATGCAAAAACGCCTTAATTCCCAATAAGCGGTTAAACAGAGAAAAGAAATGAAAAGAGACGAGAAGAAATAGCTCGTGCAGGGGTAAGAATAATAAACTCCAAGATGGCCAAAGGGGGTTGTTCGGATATTTGAGAGAAAACAAAAACTTGATCTAGCCTGGTCTGGATTGGCTTTTTTTCTTTCCTTTTCTTCCTTTTCTTTTTTCTTCTTTTTTCTTCTTTCTTCTTTCTTTTTTTTTTTTTTTTTTTTTTTTTTTTTGGGCAATGAGGATGAGAGAAAATCGATCGAGCGGTCCAAGAATTATATCAGCGTTGGTTAGCCTGGTATATGAAATGTCTAGGGTGATGCCCAGCCTCCAGCAACTTCGACCCATTCGGCCAAACAACTTCCTGGTTTTCCTTCTACGTCGGTGATATCCGTGTCGCATCTACACCGGCAGCCCACCCCGTTTTCTTTGGGCACGTCTGTAACATCCCAGTATTCGTCTTCCTCTTGTCGTTTTTTCGGGTCTAGAGTGGTCATTTCGAGATAGGGAATCCTATCCTGCTGACGAGCGGGAGCGTTGGCTGGGCAGTGCTGGATTGTTGTATGTCGATATCCAAAATCTCGGAAGTAATGGATGTCTTTTGGCGCGAGTAGGACACCGGCTGCAAGCGAATGGATTGGTGCATCACCCCACTAGATACGGATGTCAAAATATCAGTGAAATCGAATGTAAATTGGAGACGAAAACCAAAAAAAAAGGGAGTGAAGGAGTGATTGGTGCTTACACGTTCCATCCAGAATCCACCACTTTTGTCCATCATGTTGAAGAAGTCCTCGTACTCCTTGCTACGGAACCAATCAAGTCGAGCGATTTCAAAGTTACTCCAGAAATGGCACATGTTATACTTTTCCCCTTCCATGGCTTCAGGATCGACATCTTTAATGCCTCTATCACCTGGTTGCGTTTGTAAGATTTCATCTGGCAATGGTTCATCCTCTGCATCTTCCTTTGTTGGCTCCTTGGGCTGTGGCGGATCCTCAAGGAACATTTCCCACAAACCCTGGGATGTGATATTGTTTGTTCTCTTGTAGGCGGAAGCATAACGGAAGAGGTTTGGAACGGTTTCCCTGAGTTCTTTAACAGCAATAGTGAAACCGTAGGTTTTATTGTGTTCGATCATTTTGAGGAATGGATCACTGGCATACAAGTCAGAAAACAGCAATTGATATGAAGGATAGCAAAAGGATCGGATGGGGATATCCATACTAGGTGATATCGCAGAAATATTTGATATCTGGCTCCAGACGCCAGTACCACTCATACTTCATGAGTAGCTCGTGCCTGTAGAAAAATCTAGCCGCCACATATTAGTACAACAGGCGCCTATTTACGCGGTACAGGCTAGATAACTTGCTACTCACCCAGAATAAAATCGACACATATGGTGGTAACTCTCCATGCCACCATACATAATTGCAGCATCTCCTTGTTTCCTAATTCCTTCTTTGGCTACTTCATGGTCGATCCAGTCAGGGTATCCCCACATGGAAGGGTCGATTTTACCGAATTCCAGCGAAGAACTGGTATAGTTGGCAATTGTATCTTTAAAATTCTGGTCAAAGTCGCCGTCATTTAGGAAAACATAAGGGTAATTGTAGAATCGGTTGAAATGTCGTTCGATAGATTTCATGGATTGAATCACTCCATCTAATTCCTTATTTCTCGCCAAGACAACGAAGGCCGCATTTGCTCTTGGAGTACTGGTGTCCATTTCAAGACAGCCAGTAGCAAAAACTTTGTCATGTTTTTCGCTAATTTTTCTGTTTTGAAGTCATAGTAATTAGCATTCCAAAGCAAGTTAAAGATAGTTTTCCACAGTAAAGATATACAAGTAGCAAAGACGAACCTAATTGTCGGAGGCGTTCCAGCTGGCATCAAAATCCGACCAGGAGAAGAAGGATGAGTGACAATGAGAAGGAATATAAGAACTATTACGATGCAAGGAAATAACAGAACAAAGCCCAGTGGTATTGAGATGGCAGAGTTCCTTCGGAGTCGTATCCGCCGCTTGAAGAAAGCGAATTTGGGTATTATGGCGCCCTTTTCATTCACAGCGCTATCAAAGGCAGGGGCTGCGGGCAAGTAAGGCACTCGCTTCGCGAGGCGTTGTACGAACCCCATGGGCACGAACGGGTGGATTTGAGGAAATTCGGCACAGATGGAAAGGAGCTTTCTGGATTTCTTTTTTTTTTTAGTTTTTTTTTTATTTTAAAGGGGAACTTGATGGCGATAGCGCTCCTGGACCGGGGGGATGTTCAAGAAGCCAGCCTGAGAGAGTTAACAACAGCAAGTTACAGCTGCCACCACGAGGAAGGGAATTCGAGTATGGAGAAAAATCCGAAGAGTTCAGCAGCGGTTCGTAGAGGGGAGATAGTGGACGCTGGGAAGGGAGAGCTCTTATTCGAGAGGAAACGAATGGCCGGGAATGAGACGTCCCCTATCTGCAGGTATACGGTACGGATTCACGGCGTGGTTAATCAAGCGGATAGGGGAAAGGAAATAATACTGGCTCAATGAACAGCCGGTTAACGCGGTGCAAGCTTACAGCGAGCCAGGCGGTGGTCATGAGGTGTGGGAGCTGAGGTTATGTGCGAGCTGGAGCTGGAGGAGTGAAGGTGGCAGCAATATGGGGGATGTTCGATTTTCTGGAGATTGAGATTCCAAAGGACGAAGCGTTTGACGGGAGGATGCCAAGACCCGCTCGAGCCCGAAACGTAGAAATCGCCTAGAACAACTTGCAAGTCTTTGGATGGAACAGCGAGCGTTATTAGTGTATCCCCCCCAGCACGATGCCTTTGGGTGATTTTCTGACTGCCCAAGGGGATTGTCTATGCTCCTAGAGGCAAATTCCAGGTGCTACAGTGCCAATTCTTGTATTTAAGGCAAAAAATGTCTGCTTGGTCTCTATGAAAACATTTGCGTGTAATGCTCAATACAAGGTCGGGACACGTAATATGGCCTTGTCTGGATGATGTTTTGATTGGCTCAGATGCTGCACTAGGTCGCCTCTGTGGGCTGTGAATAGAATCTTCTCTTTTTTGATTACAACTGGTTGTACTGACGCTTACCGTACGCCATCTGCTGTACCGTACCATACCAATGTGTACAAAATTGTCGAAGTTTATCCCTGCCTATGATGTATACATATATGGTAATATTATTATTATTGCCGGCTTGGATTTCTCGAAGCATAAGCATATTGCGCAAATACATATACGGAGTATAGTCCATCGAAGTAAAGTGATGCTCCTCGATAATAGTTTCTACGATGGGGGCATCTTGATTTCTCAGGCTATTTTTATTTCCAGGCGCAGATCTACGGAGTATCTTTCAGATATTTTTCCGGAGGTACGTAAGTTACGTATGTTACTGCCCCAACCAGGATGATCCACAGCAACAGCACAGCACCCCAGCATTCAGCCGCAAGCTGAATCTACGCTGTAAATATTAGGAATTGAGATGTTATATAAACTATAGAGTACGTACGGGTTATATCTGAACGATATATGTGATGGCACCGCTGCTGTGTGCAAGGAATGAATGAACTCTTATGATCAATAGCCAGATCCATCCATCCAGAGGCCGCCCTTTGCCACACACCTGAGGAATATTTAGACCAGCTGGTTATCCTGATTACATATGAAGGTATGGTATGTATAACCGCTTACCTGATAAATCCGGGCCGAGTCATACTGACAGATCTCTTTTGCTTGAAGTATTATGAATACATATTCTGTATTTGGCCAACCAGTTCGGCTTCCTCCACCATTTATTTTTATTTTTTCTTCTTTTGCGCCATACCCAAAGCGGCCTGACGCGACAGAAAGAATAAAAAAAGAAAAATATATATAAAAAAATAAGAAAAAGGGGGGGGAGGCATGCCAAGCCCCGGCCTCCCACACCCTACACCCACCACCACCACCAGTGCCACTTCTCTGCCGTCATTTCTCCTTGTTGACTTGAAACTTGCTCACCTGCAACATACAACTGACTACGGCAAACGGGGCCTGATCCTCGCCAACCATCGAAGAATGACTTTGGCATTCTCTTCATCCTGTTGTCCCTTAAAAATAAAAATGCTGGACTGGCCCATTTCCTGGTTAATCCACGGCCACAATTAACTCTGTTACTGTTTCATCGCGTTCAAGCTGCCCGAGCCCACGCGACCTCCCACTTCTGCATTCTGCAAATCCAAACAAACAAAAAAAAAAAAAAAAAAAAAAAAAAGGGGGATACCGTCAACCCTATATGATTCACTACCAACTAACTATTTCTTCCCGTTGTTTCTCTTAAACCTTTCACCATGGCGTTACGGATCGATAGCCAGATTGAGAATCCAGCCCAGTCCGTGACAGGGGGGACGACACAAACTCAGCGGGGTTTTTCTTCTCGTCACGGACATCTGAATCTTGATACCTTCTCTCCGGTCAACGAGAATGGCAGCTTTGCTTTCGATCAGGTATTAAAGAGAGGGAAAGTATTGAGAAGATCAAAAAATAAGCATGTCAGTTTACCCTTGTTTATTTTTGGCTTCTATAACGACGAACCTCTACACATGTTTCGAGAAAAGCTAACAGTGGCTTCTTATATTTTACAGGCATTCAAATCTTCATGGAAACCCGGATATCTAGTATTGCGGCCCAATCTCCTGTCCTTGTATAAGGATGCAGAGGAAGCAGAACTTCAAGTCTCAATCGACTTGTCTGATGTCACAGCCGTTGCCTCGTTGAAAGCCACCAAATCCAAACGCCAACATATATTTGGAATATTCTCCCCTTCCAATAACTATCGATTTCAAGCCACATCCGAAGCCGATGCGGAGAGCTGGGTGGAGCGCATACGCAACGAGAGCTACTCGGATGATGCGGGTTCGCTTGAAGGCTATGACATTGCGGAGAATAAGAAACCGGGAGAAGCTGCTGCTGAGAGCGCGAGTGAGACCGACTGTGATGGCCGTAGAGCGAGTCAACATGACGCCCCATCCATCCGCTCCGGCAATCGGCAGGCGCGACAGCAGCTTTCACATACTACTACGCATGACTACTCCGGGAACGAAATAGCATCCTGTTCGGATTTCTCTGATGCTGTCGCCAGCGCTACACCGCACCGCTCCACAGCCTCTCTGCCCCCCCATGATGGACCTTCCCTCTCACCCTCTGCGCCTTTAGATCGTCGTCCCTCACTGCCGCGGGACACAGCTCAGCTCGCTGATGGCGCCCTCGGGAACCTTGCTCCAGAACGTGTCATTTGCCACGGCTACCTCCTCTGCCTAAAAAGCAAGAAAGGGGTTCGACAATGGAAGAAGCTCTGGGTTGTTCTTCGACCACATAACATTTGCTTCTATAAAGATCAGCAAGAATACGCCGCGACCAAAATCATCTCGATGCTGCAAGTTATCAACGCCGCAGAAATTGACCCGATCTCCCGATCGAAGAAGTTCTGCCTCCAGGTCATCGCGGAGGACAAGACATATCGATTCTGCGCGCCAGATGAAGAAGCTCTCGCGAAATGGCTGGGTGCGCTCAAGAGCCTACTGGTTAGGCGGCACGGTAGCACATCAAAGCACGCGGCTGGACCTGCTGTCGCTGGGCTCTCTTGAAACTAGTCGTTGAAAACATTCGTGACGGCGTTCCCACTCTCGCCTTCCCATCAAGACAACAACTGCACTCACTGCAAGCCATAATATCTCCTTTGTTCATCATTGCTGTGTTTTCGTTGCTTGTCAACGTACAAACGTCTCTGCGCACACACTGACATACCCACATACTTTATTATATTTTCCTTTTTTTCTCCTTTTGGCGTATTGGTGAAAAGCGACCACCTGTACTGTTGCTGCCGCAGCTGGTCATTACTGTTGGATTCCGACGTACATAACATGTTTTAATATCACCAACCACGTTCCATTTGCTTTTTATATTTTAGCGCCTTGACTTGAATATTTCTTTTCTTTTCTTTCCCTTCTTTTCCCCCCCACAGAAGCACTTATGTTACAGGCTGTCAGATTTGTTCTTTTTATTTCCGTTTTTATTGTTGTAACTGACTGCCAACAGCATACCTGTTTACTTTTTTTTTTCTTGGGCAGTGATACCCTTCTGATTTTGTATTGTTATTTTCATTTGCTTCTTTTCCCCTTTGTGTTGCTTTGTTATGCATACATCTTGACCTCTTGGCAGCAGCTGTACTCCATCTGCTGCTCATCTTCCTTTTTTGGTTGATTGCAGCAACTTTCCCTTAGATTTTACTATTGTTACTGTTTGAATTGGACTGCAGACTAATATGAGAAGAGACTCTGACGAAGAATCAATTTGAGCTATAATTTTTATATTGTTAATTTTTGACCAAAAGAAAAACCAACAACTGGCTGGTTGTGTTGTCCTGATGACTAATCTTGCCAAGAAACGCTGCCTTCCACGCTGCTTCTTCGCCAAGCCCCGAACCCAGAAAGACGTTGAGCCGCCTTTGACAAACTACTCCGTTACTGCGTATGCGTACATCCGCAGCTCTTTATAAGTGCCACTTCCAACAAACATCACCAGTCTTATGAATATCGTACGATCATTTATATTATTAACAGTTTACCAACCCCTCTCTTTTATTATTCTTCCTCTCTCTTACCGCTCTGTATTATTTCATTAAGGCCTCTTATTCGTTCACCCGTGTGTCTTAAGCCGTCGGGTGTCAACAAGGAAGCGAAGTAGACCACCGATCGATCACACTGTATTTGGGCTAGACGCAAAATTTTTCCATAAGAAGGGCATGGGTTTTTTCGACCACCTCCAGAAGAAGGGAAGCATAGTGATTCAGCCCAAGCGGCCGCAGATCCGAAAAGTCGAAGCAGTAACCACACCCGCCAAACATGCCCCTTCAAGAGCCGCATCAGTCACATCGGACTTTTCAGCCTCCAGACCAACTCCTCACTCTCACGCTCACCCCCGCCGTGACCGCGATCGCCTTCTCACATCCAGCAGACGCTCATCCAGTTCTATCCGCGCAAGTTCCATAGCGAGCGATCCCACCCCATCCCGACACCATGAACCCACCCGGCGTCTAAAAGCAAAGTCCGTACCCCGAAAGCGGCCATCGCCTGTCCAAAGGTTATCGAGTAGCAGCGACGAGAGCGATACGGATGCGGCTTTCTTTGAAGTTCGCAAGCGGGCGAAGGTTAGTGCCAGTGCGGGGCCAGATAAAGAGCGCCGGGTTCGGTCCACGGCTGCGTTTGTGGAAAATGCGGGGGAACAAACGGTCACCATAGTAAACGCGGCTGATATCACATCTGTGGATAAACCTGCGGAGTTTATCAGAGCGTTTGAGGATGGGGGTGATGCTGGGGCTGCAGAGCCGGTTACAGTTCGGTTGCAGTATCCCGGCGCTTCCCAGGGTGAAAAGTGAGTTACGATGACTTGTGGAAATAGCTAGGTTTGTTCGTTTTGCGTTTGTGTTGCTGATGGGATGTTTGCTTACTCGTCGTTCGGCGCTAGATACCAACTTGTCGTACCTCGGGAGAAAGAAGGCTTCAAACCCTTGGATGACATAGTCCACCTGGTCAACATAGTGTCACAAAATTATATACCTGAGGAATATGCCCACCTTTTTAACGACGAGGCCACTGGCATTAATCGCCGCTTCAGACGCGCCCTGGCGCACGCCTCTCAATCAGAATTCATGGAAGCAATCGACGAATATAATAATACCATCACCCGGCTCCGAGCTGACGGCTCCATCGCGAAACACCTCGATACCATACACAGCCTGCCGCTCCCCTTAGTCGAACGGATCCTGAACCAAATATACGCCCGCACCGTTTCCCCACGCGTAGAGTCCCTCCGCCGGTACGAAAATGGCACAGACAACGTTTACGGCGAGCTCCTCCCCCGCTTCATCTCCGAGATCTTCAAGCAAACCAAACTAAAATCCAACCAGGTATTCGTCGACCTAGGCTCTGGGGTTGGCAACGTCGTCTTACAGGCAGCGTTGGAAATCGGCTGCGAGAGCTGGGGCTGCGAAATGATGCAGAACGCCTGCGACCTCGCGGAGCTGCAGGGGCGCGAATTCGAAGCACGCTGTCGGCTCTGGGGGCTTGCCCCGGGCACCGTCCGGCTTATCCGCGGCTGCTTCCTGTCGCAAGAAAGCATCATTAAGGCGCTGCAGCGGGCCGATGTCGTGCTCATTAATAACCAGGCGTTCACGCCGGAGCTGAACAACTCGATCATCAACCACTTCCTGGATATGAAGGAAGGGTGTCAGATTGTGTCGCTCAAGTCGTTTGTACCCGCGGGACATCGGATTCAGGCGCGGAATTTGAATTCGCCGGTTAATTTGTTGTCGGTCAGACAGAAGGATTACTGGTCTGATAGTGTTAGCTGGACGCATGCGGGGGGCACGTATTTTATTGCGACCAAGGATAGTTCGAGGTTGAAGGCTTTTGCGGAGGGGATGTTGAATGAGTGAAGAACATTTGGATATCCTGTTCCTTTTGTTTATGCTTTTCTTTTGATTCCCCCCACTCCCCTTCTTTTTTTTTTTTTTTGGATGGAGGCTCGCCTTCTCGTTGGCTGGGAAGAATGCTTTTGGAAACGCTACGATCACATTTTCTGAGGCGTTGGATTTTCTTTCTTCCCCCGGCTCTCCTATTAGATATTTTGGGTTAGAGTTGGCTGTGGGAAATTAGATGCACAAATCGACGGCAAATTGGTTTAAAGGTTGGAATTCCGGCACGTACCTTGGCTTTTTTGTCGGGTTTTTTTTCATGATGATACCTTGGTGGGTTTCTTCACCCATTTTTCCTTCTCGGTTTTTTTTTTTTTTTTTTTTTTTTTTTCCTTTTCCTTTCTGCTTTTTTTTTTTTTTTTTTTTTTTTTTTTTTTCCTTTTCCTTTCTGCTTTTTACTCTTTTTGGGTCCCCTATTCTTTCATGATAGACGCTGCGATACCCTTCCTTCTCGTTCCATTTTTTTGGGGGGGATTTTGAAATATCCATTTGACGAGCGGCAAAAAGGCTGGCCTATTCGATTAGATGACGTGTGTGACCAGCGCTACTTTCTGCTATGCGATGGTATCCCGTCTAGTCAAATAGTGTGATTGCGGGACTGTAATGATTCTTCTTTCTGGGTAGTTTTTTATTTAGAGCGAATCTTCCTATCCCAAAAATTCAAAATTCAATTATGTATCTCTAATATATTATGATATACCAGATAATGCGCCTGCATGATCCCCTCTCAAAAAGGAAAAAGCCTCAATATCAATTCCGTGAAATAGACCCCCATCCAAGAGCTAAAAAGAAAAAGAAAAACGCCGTGCCCATCGATCTGCTTGATCGATCCGATTTCATCAGCTCGTGGAGCATCAAGAAAACACCCTCTGTAAAAATAGAAATAATATATATAAAAAAAAAAAAAAAAAAAAAAAAAAAAAGTGGACGTACGTCAAGAAAATTTGGACGCCTTATTCATGGCCTCCGCCTCCTGTCCCATCCTCGCCATCCAGCGATCAACCAACTCCTTGTTCTCCGTCTCCAGCTTCTTCGAGCGTTCTTCCGCCATATTAAACTGTAGATTCAGGGATACGAGCTCCGTTTGCACGTTCTGTACGAAGGTCAGCTATTATATATACGCATCAAGAACCCCGGGGAACGATAACGAGAGGGAGGATATGTATATATATATATATATAAAAGAGTCCACCAACATACATCCAACAACTTCGCCTTCCCCCTCAACTCCTCATCGCGATCCTTCACGCGCGTCAGCAGCAGCGCCCGCTCAGCGACCAGCGCTTCAATCCGGCGCGCATCGCCATTCGTCTTCCGCCGCAGCTTATCCAGCTCCGCGCTGGTCTTGGCGAGTTTATCTGCCAGCTCTGTGCGCGAGCGCTGGGCTTCGGAGAGGTCCTTGCGCGCGGCGGATAGGAGCGCGTCGGTGTCGGTGCCGTGGTGGTGCTGATGCTGGTGTTGTTGGTGTTGGTGTTTGGAGGTGGGGTTTGGTTTCTTGTTCTTGTTGTCGATGCCTGCGGGGGAACCCGTTCTGTGCTGGGTGGACGGGGTGGTGGGGGCGGAGGAGGGGTGAGAAGGATGTTGCTGGTGGAGATGGCTGGTGCGGTCGGCTAGGCGGGTGTCTTTACATTTTGGGGTGTAAGCTCATGAAGGTACGCTCATTGGGTGGGAGACGATTTATATGCCAATAGGCAAACGGGGTTAATTGCCCACCTTCCCAGGCCCCGGGGGGGGGGGGGGAGGGGGAGGAGGGAGGCGGCAGCTTTACATACAAGCATCGTACAGAGAGGCATTTGCTTGTTCACGCGCATCTCTCACTCCCAAAGCTAAGAAGTATTCTTCTTGCCAGTTAGACATTATTTCATAGCCTGATTTGAGCGGGCTAGGTATGCTGTCACTGCCACACCGCAATCGGATATATGGGGGATGATGTGTCTAGCAAGCCAGTTGGGGCTAGATAGACGAGGAGAGGTGTGTGAGGGATGGAAGGATGAACTGGTGTCAAAGCATTGTTGGGATGTTGGGAGGAAAAGTTAAGACAATCGCCATGCAATAGATATTGCCCCTGAATTAACCTTCATCCCATCAACTTCCCACATCCGATTGAAACCTGCCCTGCCGTATCGTATGATGTGTGGGTTGATTGCGGTGGTTGTATACTACAAGGACCGTAGCTAGCTCTAACTTATAGGAAGGAAATAAATAATTCCGTTCCCACGCTCCCATCTGTGGTTACAAAACCCTGAAAAAACGGGACCATTCTATCCACGACGAGGAATAGGATATCCAACCAGATGTTCTGGATAAGCAAGCTATTTTACCTCCTTGGACGTTCAGTGCAAAGGCATGCTTGGCCGGGTTCATTTCTGGGGTTTCTCTCTGGGATCGTTCGATTCCTACAAGCGATGAGCTGCGCGGCTATGAACTCATACTACGGAGTAACGCAGTAACTACTGGGTATCACGCCGTCTCCGTTAACTACCTAGGTATACCGTATCATGGGGAATTGCCTTCCATGGTTTAGCGCTATCCTGATCGGGTTTAGCACAACATCGCTGCTTTCTGGACTATATAAATCCCCTCCTCTCGCCGCTTGAACATCCTCTCTTCATCATCCCTATTTTCCCTTTCTTTCCTCATAATTCTCTTGTCTCGTGTGTGCTGTGCCCATCCCCTCTTTCCCCTTGGGCCTCACTGCTAGTGTCACCTGGCCTGGCTGTGCTGCAGCTGAAACTGTTCTTAATATAGTGATCATGTTCACTTTCTCTTCTTCTCAGATGCAATTTCACCTCACTCTACTGTTAAGTTACTCTAAAACTATGCACAGACTGAGGCCTGCTACTGAGATATCTAGTCTGTCTGAGACTGTGACTAGCTGAGATTTTCTATTCATTTTATTAATCTTATTTTCTTATTATATATATAATAAGCTAATACTTTAAATTCTATATTTAATGTTTTAAGATTCTGTACATTTATTTTATTAATACTGTTAATTTCATTTATTCTATCTGTATCTTAATTAGACTGATTACTAAGATTATAAATTTCATATTTAATCTTATTTAATCTGATTTTATACATTTCTTAATATAAATTTCACTGAGACTGACTATTAAAAAAACATATAAAGTGACTATATATCAGATCTTAAAATGAAATCATGACTTGAAAAAAATAAGAAAGTGATTTTATTTGATCTCATTTAGTCTCATTCTTAATATAAAGTTACTATTTTTAGACATTTTAAGGTTTTTTTTAGATTATTTTTAATTTTTTAAAAAGTAACACTTTTTGATAATACTTAAATGAGATTTAAAGTCATTTAAAATAATAAAAATAATTTAAATTGAGAAGTGAAAATCATAATCTTATTTGAAAAATATAATAAGAGTAGACAGTAAGTCTTATTAAAATAGTATGAGATTACTATCTAATATTAAAATCATGTAATAAGATTAATTAAATTAATAATAAGACTATTAAAAAATCTGATTCTAATCTTAGATATAATCATATAATCAGTTAAATTTTAATACTTATTATTATTCTTAATCTTTCTCTTCTATAATTAGTTAGTAACTCTGATATTTCTCATCTATAATACATACTAATAATAAGCAGTCTCCACTTATTAAGATAGTATGTTAATAAAAAAATTATCTTTATATAATAGAAACAGTATCTGTCTTACTGCACTGTAAATTATTATATATCAGACTCTGATTAGAGTATAAGATCTGAAAGATCTGATTAATTGTAAGAGTAATATATTCAGATAAAGAAAAAAATCTCTCTGATAATTTAAGTCTCACAGTATAACTGATGTATACTATAAATATAATTTAAACTACTTCAGTATAAGTAAATTCTTAATTATACTATTTACAGCATATATTATCTGTAGTATATACTGATCACGTATTATACATATAAGAAGGTAAATCTTGTCTTATTCTTCAAGATGAAGATGAGCGAACGCCTCTATATATATATATATACATGCTTGTTTGTTTATTGTGATTGACTTTTACAGAAGAAAGAAGTGAAAGTCTCACAATAAAAGAGGCAGAAGTCTCAGAAAGAAAGAGATAAAAGTCTCAGAAAGAGATGAAAGCTCTGAGAAGTATTAAATAGAGAAATAAGAATAGAATAGAAGTCTCAGAAAGAAAGAAGTGAAAGCTCTGAGAAGTAGTAAGAATGAATATTACATTATTTTCTCTCTTAATTAGCAGTAAAATATCAAGCTTAGACTGACTGTGATGTTTACTCTTACTACTTTCTAAGACTTCTATCTCTTTCTTTCTAAGACTTCTGTCTCTTTCTTTCTGAGACTTTCATCTCTTTCTAAGACTTCTGTCTCTTTCTTTCTAAAACTTCTATCTCTTTCTTTCTTGCTACTTTCTGAGACTTTCATCTCTTTCTTTCTAAGACTTTTATCTCTTTCTTTCTGAGACTTTCATCTCTTTCTGAGACTTCTGTCTCTTTCTTTCTGAGACTTTTATCTCTTTCTTTCTGAGACTTTTATCTCTTTCTTTCTGAGACTTCTGCTTCTTTCTTTTGTAAAGGTCAATCACAATAAACAAACAAGCATGTATATATATATATATAGAGGTGTTCACTTATCTTCATCTTGAAGAATAAGATAAGATTTACCTTTTTTACATGTATAATATGTGATCAGCATACACTACAGATAATGTATACTGTAATTTGATAGTATGTCTTATTAAGAACAAGATTCTCAGTTCTCTTAGATTCTACTTCATCTTTAAAAGATGTAACACTGATAATTAATCTGAGTTACAGATAATGAAGTTTAGTTAACTGATAATTAATCTGATTGATTTCTCTATATTCTTTCTATCTTTAAGAAGATGTAATACTGATAATTAATCTGAGTTATAGATGATGAAGTTCAGTCAACTGATAATTAATCTGATTAACTACTCTATCTTTTTGATCACTGCAGCTGATAATCAATTCAGTTATAATAGACTTACTCTATACACATCTATTACACACTGCAATGAAGCAGGATGAACATCTCACTAGAAGTGACTTCTATCAGTTACTTCACTTCATCAGACTGAATGAGTCTGCTGAGAAGTAAGCTTTTTATAAACTCACTCAGAGATCTGATACTGAGTATATCTACTCACAGACAGTAGCAGAGAAATACACTGTTATAATCATAAAGATCTGACAGAATGCAAATGAATAATATAATAGTATCAAGAATCAAGTCACATCATATAACTATATTAAGACAGAGAGTATTCTTATAAAAGTATTTATCAGATATTATAACAATATTAAGATGATTCTTGACTCAGTTCCTGTTATGAAATAAAAGAATATCATTGATTCTTGACTACAGACTTTCTGTACAGAGGTTACAAAGTATATAAAAGAAAGAGAATCAATAGCTTCAAGCTATATTAAGTTTAATGATCAGAGTCATGCCTCTTCTGATGAAGCTGCTGTATTAAATACAATTGAAGAGTTGAAGTAACTGAAGTTTCAGCTGACTCAGTGAGAAAGTGAGCTAGATAAGTGTGAGTATCAGCTCAATCAGCAGCAGAATCAGCTGAATAAGTGTATCACTCTTATTAATGAGTATATCAACAAGCTTCAGAACAATCTTCAGTATTTGACAGATGAAAGAAGCTGACTGACAGAGATATGAAGTAACTTCTGTACAGAGAAAGCAGTACTTGTTACTCAGAAATAAGAGCAGCAGTATAAAAATTAACAGCAGCAGAAATAACTGACTTAAGTTAAAGATAATAATCTTCTCACTGAATTCTCTCAGTGACTGAATATTTTATTTAATGAAGACTTCAAATCACTCTCTAGAGTTCTGCAGACACCTGCAATTTCAAGAAGACTGTGTAATACTGAGTGAGATGTATTCAGAGACAGAACCTGTCACTCAAACATGATAAGAGATAGATTTAATTTCATATAAGAGACAGATATTCTACACTTCATCTATGACACAGAAGAGAATTGAGTTCACAGAGAGTAAGCACTTGCAGTACTCTTAAAGAAGAAGATCTGTCTCATCTGTAATTATAGTGACTTTCTACTAGATAATAGATTCTGTTCATTTTTATGACAGATTGATGATGCAGTTCACTATACTGAAGATGATAAATGAGAATGTCTGATATAACTGAGAGTGAGCAATGTTATACTGTTTAATTCAGTGAAAGCAGATGTAATAGTATTCATCAGTCATTTAGAGTTTATTATCATATAGAAGAAAGAAGATGCAGTACTCTGAGTCTTTTCATTATACTTAAAGAGATAGATATTAGAATGACATAACAATCTATCTACAGAAATGAGAAAGAATATAAGTACTTCTCTTCTCATCACAATTAATAAGCTGAGGTAAGAATTTCAGCTATCTGAGAGAGAAGTCTGAATGAAAGCTCAAGAACTGCATTTCTTCTTTAAGAAGTTAAATAAGCTGTCATTGACACTGTATATCTTATGAAAGATTAACTTACTGTAAGTCATCTCAATCTCTGACTCTATAATAATGAAGAGACTTCTATAAAAAGAGTTGAAATCAAATCTATCTCTGATCACACTTCTTATTCTCACTGAGCATCTGAATAACTTTCAAAGAAGAATTAGAGATAATGAGTCAGCTGTCTGATATGCTTGAACTAATCAAAGAACTCAATTCACTGAATATATACAAGACTTCAGATAACTTGATTAAAATAATAACTATCACTCTTATCAGACTTTCTTGATCAGATTATATATAAAAACTATCAAGTTATCTGTATCTGCTGTGAACTCTGTGATAACTTCTCTCACAAGCATCTCTGCAGTGAGCAGACTGCTGATTAGACATGTAGAGAGCAAATCATCAGCACTCACAGCAGAGTGCTATGTATGCTGAGACTCTCATTACATTAATCACTGTCTCAGAAAAGAGAATCTAGTGAATTAAGTTAAATAAAAGAGTGATAGAGAAGAGAATGATAATCTATTACAACTAGATCTCAGTCTAGATTCTGACAGTGAGTTGAAAAAATAGATAATAAGTCAGATATTGAGAGACCTGTCTTATTTACAAACACTTTCTCAGATAATTATCTGAGTATGTTTAACACTGATATATATACTATCACAGTATATGATGTTCTCATAAGTGATTAAAAACATGTTAGTAGACTGCAGTACTTACTCTATATCTTTCTTATTATTCTCATTGATATCTCTCAAGACAATCTCTCAGTTTGTATTGATACAGGCACAGATATATTACTTATTAATGCAGTGATAACAAGCTTATTCTTTTCTCAATGTCAGTCAGCTGCTCTGTCACATGATCAATGTGTGTACATTCAAGAAGTTAATTTAAATATAAATGAATTGAATCTATTCATATCAACAGCTCTCA